GTCCACTGGCATTCAGTCAGTTCTGACTCATCTAGCTCCCTCGGTGGGTCTCTGAGACACATGTCCAAGAGAGCAGATGGCCTCACCTTCCTCCCAGGGATACTTTGGTTCGCAGTCCACTGCTTACCGACATGCCCGCTGAATCTAGACCACTAGAAGTTATTGGTGCTCATACTGCTTTTCTGCTAGGTTGTATTTAGGACTAAAAATCCTATGTGTTATTAATTGGACTTTATTTTTTACCATCAGATGGAAAATCCCTTGAAAAAAATAGCCAACGAAACTAAACAATGCCAGGAAATAATAAGTGCTTGGTAATAACATAACAGAAACGTGGGGACAAAAAAATCTACCTTAAAAATATTGCCTTGTTCATAGTTCCAGATGCTTCTGTAAAATGAAAACTATTCTTATTGCAGTATCATGGAAAAGCATCTAATGTTGCAATAAGGATCTAAGATTGAGCAGAACTGAAAACCCCTCTTATTGGAAGTTTTGGTCTTTAAAAAGCAAGTACTCTTACCATACAAGTGCTTGGTGTGGGTCACCACCATCAATTCCACAACCAAGAGTCAAGCCAAGCTGAAATCCGGAGGATTAGTGCCTAATCCTCAATTGAGCCGTAATAATCAATCAATACTAATGGATACATAAGGGGAGGGAACCTGTCATTACTCTCTTACTCAATCCGAGTAAAGAGATTATACATCTCTTGTAATTGACCAAGGCTATTCTTAACTGGAGGGTTTTTTTTTATTCTCTCTGAAGCGTGCAACCACTATCGGGATCAATGAAAGCCTTGTCCGTGGAGGGAATGTACAAAGAGCAGAGAGAAATGAGCTTCCTGCCCTCAAAGAAAGTCTTTTCTGGCTTTCCTGTTGAACGTCTCTTTTCTAAAAGGAAACCAAAGGAAGAGAGATTACACCTAAAACATCTGAAGTTGGAAAACCTACCCAGAGTCCAGGCGTTTGTCAAGATAAGTACTGGGGCATGTTTGTTTTTCACTCCCAAACTTCTCCTTCTCATCGATTACAATGGAATGTTCACGAATTCGTTCTCAGCGTAACCACACACGAATAATCAGCACTCTGCAGGGCTCAGAAGTCCCTGGGAGGAAAGTGGGGGCCAGTGCTTTTGCCCTGGGCCATCACCACCAGATTGATGTCCACCTGCCTCTCCTCACATCTCCAATGAGAGGCAGCAGAGAGTGAAGCCGCCCACCATTAGTTTAAAACTTCGAAGGTTGCCCTACTTGTTTTAGAAATATGGCAGAGAATTAATATCCACTGCAGTAAACTACCTGTTTATGACACTATTGGAAAATATTTACACCACTAAATGAATCAGACTCTGCTGGTTATAGATTAAATGTACAATCAATGGATTCAAATGTAGCTATTACTTGCCCTCTCCCAAGCAGGGCTGGCAATTTATCTCTATGCTCTTCAGAATTATTATTTACTGCCTTCCACAGATGTATCTATAATACATTTCCCCTAACCTGTACTCAGTAATTCGATTTCCTCCCTGCACATACAAATCTCCATGCATGTTATAATGTTTAGAAATGAGATATTGGGCTACAAGTTGGGAGTCAAAATGAAAGTGCCAGTGAGTGACTTGGTTGATTATTTTAAGGATGTCAAACTCCAGGAGGTGCCCCCAACACCTAGAGCTGTCCCTTTTGCCAAGTGAGGACTGCACAGGTGTGGTGGCCACCTAATCTGGTATCAATTTAAGGATTAAGAGTGTAGGGGTGGAGTCTAGGCTGTCAATCTGGAGAAAGCCGATGAGACTTCTGTGTGGACATGGCCTCCTGAGAATTCTGGGAAATCTGGTACTTCCTCCTTGGAGGCGGAAGACACCTCTCTCTGCCACTTCCTGGGAGACATTGCAGAAGACAAGCCACATGGACGCAACCAGACCTCTGAAGCCGGAGAAGCCACAGAGAGACCCCTGCCAGCACTGAGATGCTTACAACGCCACTGGACCCAAAGACTTTCTACCCACTGGCTTGTGATCGTCCTACATTTGGCTTCATTGCATGTGTTCCATGAGTCTGAAGAGGACTTTATAGATCGGTATCGGACATGTGGGCTAATGTCGGATTTATGGCCTTGGACTGAACTGGGTTGGGATATTTTCTCAACATTCAATGCCTCTTGCATATACAACTCTTTCTTATACACATATGTGTGTCCATGGATTTGTTTCTCTAGTCTACCCAGACTAACACAACAGGGAAACCTTGGACACCTGGGTGTGCTATGGCTTTTCCCTTTGAAATGATACCCAAATGAGCACGGACACAAAACCCTTTCTTCTCAGAACAGAAAGACACGAAACCAAACCAAACTAAACACCCCACAAGCATCCGCGTTTGCAGCCCCCATTTCTGTAGCCGGGCGCCTCATCTGCAGAGTTTCAGCCTTGCATTCCTTTCACACAACACGCCTCACTTTCCGATTAATCTGCTGAAATGAGATGCTGGGGATTTGCATACAGATTTGACTACACAAAAATAGATATGGAATTATTAACAGTCTCTCTGTGTTTGAATTTCTCCTAGGCTGGAGTCCCCTTGCCAGCAGCGGTATTGCTGGCGTGGGAAGTCATCGTCATCCAGCTGATTTGCTGCTCTGGGTGACGGGGCCCCATGCTGCCACACTGCCCCTGCAATCAAAGCACTTGCAAAGACAGACGCATGCCTCCCTCTATCGAGTCTATTTTATAGACTGGCAGTTTTGATCTCTCTTCCCCAACCCCAGGGAGGCGAGCGGGGGATGCAGAATGGGGGATAATCTGCATCTTAACAGCTTTCTATAGATACATCTGTCATTAAATATGCCATCTCGTATCAGCATTCGTTTTTAAAAATCCAAGTTTTCCCTAACTTTGAAGTGCCACAATCAAAGTTAAGACTTCTCAGCCAAAATGGAAAATGAATAACCCTGTCTTCTACTTTTGAACTGTGACTTCAAGATATACTGCTGCTTCCGCCAAAGTCAAATAAGTCTTTAAAAACTGCCAGAAGGAATGAGAACTTACCACCATGCTGCCGGCAGGGAG